CATATACAACATGAAATATATATACAAACATATGATACATGATTATGACAAATGTACATTTATATATTATTAAAGAGACATAATTAAGTTCAAGTTAAACGGTTTCATAAACATGTATAAGCTTCTATATGATTATATTTCTATATACATGTATAATTATATTAACATTATATCAGAGGTTATCTTAGAGCAATAAGTATTTAAGCGTTACAACAAAAAACACATTTATACCATTGTTTATTATAATTTATTCCCTTTACAGTGCCTTTTGGTTTGGGTTACTACACCTTTATTCGCAATACTACGCCTTTTGATTCACATAATTACAACTTTCGATTTGCATTATAACGCCTTTATAATAGTCATGTTACTTTGCCTTTATTCCCGTTGCTACACCTTTTAGGCATTATTATGCCTTTTGTTTCACGTAATTACGCCTTTTGATTCACGTAATAATGCTTTTATTCACGTTAAAATGCCTTTTAATTAATTTTTTTTTTTTGGTACTTTAAGGTTTTTGTATTCATTGCAATTTTAATGTTTATAAATTAAATACATTAGAAGATGATCATATTTAAAGATATTGTGGTATGAGCTTTTTTCGAAAAAATACCTCTATTATATAAGGTCTACATTTATAATAGGATATAATAAAAACAAGAAGGCCATGATGGCCCTGAAATCGCTCACCTGTATATAGGCCCCTGGGCCAAGGCCAATTTTAAACCAAGGGCTTTTATTTGAACAAACTTGGTAGACACTCACTAGAAGATATTTCATGCTTAGTATTTTAACTCAAGCTCTTTGAGTTTTTTTACTATACACATATAAGGAAAATCAATGACCCTGGGGCAGGGCCAATTTTAACCCAAGGGCCCTTATTTCAACAAACTTGGTAGACACCCATTAGAAGATGTTTCATGCTAAATATCTTAGCTCTAGCTCTTTGGGGATTTTAAAAGAAGACTTTTTAAGTTTTTACTATATACATACAGGGGGAAAAAAATGACCCACTTGGGCGGGGCCAATTTTGACCTCAGGGCTTTTATTTGACACCCACTAGAAGATGTTTCATGCTTTATATCTAAGCTCTAGCTATTTTGGTTTTTTAAAAGTTTTTACTATATACAAATATAGAAAATCAATGACCCCCTGGGGCGGGGCCAATTTTTACCCCAGGGCTTTTATTTGAACAAACTTAGTAGACACCCACTAGAAGAGGAACACACCCACAAGAAGATGTGTTTCATGCTAAATATCTAAGCTCTAGCTATTTGGGTTTTTTAAAACAAGATTTTTTAAGTTTTCACTGTATACAAATAAGGAAAGTCAATGACCCCCGGGGCGGGGCCAATTTTGACCCCAGGGCTTTTATTTGAACAAACTTGGTGACACCTATTAGAAGATGTTTCATGCTAAATATCTTAGCTCTAGCTCTTTGAGGTTTTTAAAAGAAGATTTTTTTAAAGTTTTTTACTATATACATAAAGGAAAAACAATGACATCCCTGGGGCGGGGCCAATTTTTACTCTAGGGCTTTTATTTGAACAAATTTGGTAGACACCCACTAGAAGATGTTTCATGCTTAATATCTAAGCTATAGCTGTTTGAGTTTTTTTAAAAGAAGATTTTTTAGGTTTTTACTATATACAAATAAGGAAAATCAATGACCCCCTGGGGCGGGCCAATTTTGACCCCAGGGCATTTATTTGAACAAACTTGGTAGACACTGACTGGATGATGTTTCATGCCAAATATTTATGCGGTTTTCTAAAAGAAGATATTTGAACAATTTTTAAAGTTGACTACCAAAGGAACATGAAATTGGCTAAGCGGTTTATGAGGAGATGCCGTTGAAAGTAAATGTTTACGGACGGAAGAGGACCAGACGCCGGACGAAAGGTGATAACAAAAGCTCACCATGTCACTTTGTGACAGGTGAGCTAAAAATATGTTAAAAATAGTGAATTTCAGACCAATTACTTAAATGATTTGACCTACAGTCATAAGATTTGATGATGAGTTATGTCATGACTTAAGTAGATGACCCCTATTAATTTTGGGTTTCATATGTCAATGTGCAATTTAAACACAATGAACTTGACAAAAGAAATCTTGCTTCTTATAGATTTGTTTAATTATAGAATTAAGAAGGCTTTTGCTTATATGTAAAATTAACTTAATTATTCTCATTATAAACCATTTATCAAGTTCACAGTGACAATGTTAGAAATAAGAAGTTTATGTGATGAGATGGGATATAATTATGTTTCACAATACAAATTACATAGTTTACATTCAACTTGAAATGTCCTTGGATATTGATGAATGGTTTTATGCACAAAAACTTTATTCATTAATTACCTACACAAACCTCAATAGCTTGATTAAATATTAAAGTTATATGTTGCAATCTAAGCAGTCAGACTAGGGCATATGGTTTACCTTGCTAAATTTTGTATCAATTAAACTGCAGTCTGAATGTCACGGGGGAGGAAGTGTTACACGAGGGATGGAGTTCTTATGATAACTTGTCAAAGAGTTCTTGTGATAACTGTCTCAGAGTTCGTCGGAAAACTTTTGTATATACTGCAAAACACACGTCAAAATGATAATTTTCATCGTTAAAAAGCAACAACCTTACTGAATAATAAAAAACGCTAAAACGTGCTGTGATTTAGCAGAAGAAACACATTGGCAGTAACAAAAGTTATCATAAGAACTCCAGGACATATTTTGAGTTATCACAAGAACTCCGGGACATTTGAAAAATCGGATATAAATTTGTTAGCCGGAGCTTTATGTTTGCAATTTTGCATTATAATTAGGTAATTATGTATGGCAAGGATGAAGACTTGAAATAAACAGGTCAATACTTGCGAATTGGCAAATAATTTGGAAATTTTACTCAAAACTACCAGATTTTAAGCAAGTGGCGATGAAAAATGGACTATGAATAAGTTTTTGACACATAACGCAATATGTAAGGCATGCTTAATCATTAAAGATTAATTTAGCACCTAAAACTCATTTTTGTGTCGCCTTGAAAGAGGCGACATATAGGGATTACTTTTGCCGGCGTTGTCGGTGTCCCCTTAAGCTTGTCCGGAGCATAAGTCAGTCATTATTAGTCGGATTGACTTCAAACTTGGTATGCATGCTTCTTACAATGACCCGAAGTGCAGTGCACAAGAACCGGTACTCTGCACTTCTTATTTTTTGAGTGATTGCCCTTTGTTAATTTTCATACTTTATTTTTGTCCGGGCCATTTCTCCTAAAGTATAAAATCTATGGACTTGAAACTTCATAGGATGATAGATTTCATTAAGAAGAGTGCAGTGCGCAAGAACTGGTACTCTGCGCTTGTTATTTTTTGAGTTATTGCCCTTTGTTAATTTTCATACTTAATTTTTGTCCGGGCCATTTCTCCTAAAGTATAAAAGCTATGGACATGAAACTTCATAGGATGATAGATCTCATTATAAAGAAGTGCAGTGCGCAAGAACTGGTACTCTGCGCTGCTTATTTTTTGAGTTATTGCCCTTTGTTAATTTTCATACTTTATTTTTGTCCAGGCCATTTTTCCTAAAGTATAAAAGCTATGGACATGAAACTTCATAGGATGATAGATCTCATTAAGAAGAAGTGCAGTGCGCAAGAACTGGTACTCTGCATTTCTTATTTTTTGAGTTATTGCCCTTGTTAATTTTCAAACTTTATTTTTGTCCAGGCCATTTCTCATAAATTATAAAAGCTTTAGACTTGAAACTTAATAGGATGATAGATCTTATTGATAAGAAGTGCAGTGTACAGAAACTGCTGCTCTGCATTTCTTATTTTTTGATTTATTGCCCTTTGTTGATTTTCAAATTTCATTTTTGTCCTGGCCATTTCTCCTAAACTATATTGTTCACAAGGCGCGACCGACTCGCGGAGTTCTAGTTTTAAGATGAAAATTATCATTTTTGACGAGTGTTTATGCAGTATATACAATATTTTTCCGACGAACTCCATGACAGTTATCACAAGAACTCCTTGACAAGTTATCATATTTAGAACTCCATCCCTCGTGTAACACTTCCTCCCCCGTGAATGTGAACCCTGCAATATTTGCAGACACTTAAGGTGTAGGTTAAGTTCTAGACCTCCACTTAACTGATAACATGTATTTAAAACTAAGTACCTAACATATTTGTAAATTACAATGGTTTCAACCCAAAACTATTTTAACTAGTTATTAATAACCTTATTTAATGTTGGTACAGGTATGTGGTGGTCAGTGCTGCTCTTTCAATTAAAATGTCTTTGATTCCCAGCAAGGATCATGATCAGAATGTTTTGCATGAAGAAGCTGTAAAAATTAAGCTTTAACCCATTACGCGATATACACGCCTTTAAATGCCTTTTTCACCCCCCCCCCTTTTTTTGTTGTCTCAAATGGTGAAAAAATGCCATATTTAGGCCCCAACACTTGTTTTTGTTTGAGAAATGTTGTTAAAAGGCTATAAATGACCCCAGATTGATGATCATAAGGTAATGTGTAACCAAGGCTGAAAAGCATTTGACTCTTTCTCAATCCATTGAGAAGTTGCAGCACTTTGAAATCAATTTTGATGGAAAAAATCAACGCAAAATAGTGATTTTTGGCAATTTTGAGATGTCCCTTCGTTGCTATGGTAACAGAAAATTTAAGCCTGAGCATGTTTTTGCAAGGGCAATGGTCCAGTCAACATTTGTGCCAAGTTTGATTAGTGTTGAAGCAGTTTTTATGGTATTATAGCAATTTGAACTTGAAATGGGAGACTTTTCAATGAAAACAGCCATTTTTCACAAAATGCTCATGAAGTAATGGGTTAAAATGATCAGTGGTTCTGTTTGGATATCAGCTTGTGACTCAATTATAACAGATTGAATCTGAGGTTTTTCCTTCATCAGCAAAACCTGGAAAGACACAATGTTGGTGTGACTCACACGAATAAATAAAAGAAACAACTGCGATAAAGTGTTGATATGTATGGAGATTGAAGAGTTTATTTTTCAAAACAAAATCATAGGAAAGTATTTCTTTTTCTTATTAAGTGTCTTGGGATTACATTATTTTCATTTGAATGACTTTTATTTACAGTATGTGCCTGTCCGAGGTGAGTCAGTGATTGGTATTGTAACAAACAAAGGTGGTGATGTGTTTCGTGTTGATATAGGTGGAAGTGAAATGGGATCCTTGTCGTATCTATCATTTGAAGGGGCAACAAAAAGAAATAGACCAGATGTTAAAGTAAGTAATTGTGATAATAGTATACAGTATTTACCAGATTATTTTATGTAGAACTTACTAATGTTGCAAAATAGTGAAAAAAGAAATTCCTGAATTATGTTCACAATGGCAAAATTGCAACGTTGCATATTGAGCCTGTTTTATGGAAGATACTGGAAAAAGCAAGCTAACATTTAATATAAAATGGTAAACTTTTTAATTTAGATGTGCTCATATGTTGGTTTTCACTGAACCTTGAATGTGACACGCTAGTGCCATTCCATGAAAAGCAGTGCATATTCCCCAAGAAAATGAATCTGTATACCCTGAACTAGAAAACAATGGTAAAACAAGATAAAATGGGACTTTGAAAGGGATCAGATGTTATGAAACATGCATATTACAGACAAGCTGACAGAAGACAAATTTAAAAAGCAGGCAACATATCCTATGGTTGATTATACAGTATTTTAAAGCCTGTTCAGTTTCATCTGATTCTTGAGAGTATTTCTGATTAACTTTACTGGTACTAACAAACATCTATAAGTTGAATTCGGAAAGCAAAAAAAACATGCGTGCATTAGCTTTATATTTTGCAACTTTACTTATGCTTATTGACATTCACAAATAATTTGGGATAGAATACAGCAAGTGGTAGTGTAATTCGGATGCTATTTTTTTTAGGTTGGAGACATTGTGTATTGTAAGATGCTAATGGCAATGAAAGATATGGAGCCCGAGTTGGTGTGTATAGATAGTACAGGTCGTAGTGCAGGGATGGGAGTCATTGGTCGTGATGGAGGGTTCTTACACTGTTGCTCCCTTAATCTCATCAGAAAGTAGGTTTTTCTGTTATCTATTGTTTGCCAATAAAGAGTATTGTTTATTCAAATAACTGTTTTTCAGTACCAACGGCATCAGTGACAAAGTGGTTAATACCTTTGACTTTGAATCCTCAATCCGTCATTGTAGTGGCTAAGAATTTCAGATATGAGGTACATGTTTCTATGCAGGTTGTTTATGAAAGGTTGATGGTTCTATCAAGGTACCTGCACATGTCTTTAATTATACATGGCCAATTAAGTTCACTAATTAGTAACACTGGGAATACTTGCTGAAAATACCTGACCAATGAAGGGTGTCCATGGCAGAGTGGTCTTTGACTTGACCCTTACCAATGTGGTTTAATTGAGTCCTGCAAGGGTCTTTAGATTGGTTCATGTGAGGAATCTTTCCAAAGCTTTCCAGCTTACGGGTGGATGGTGGTTCTACTTGGATGCCTGATTTTGCCTGAAATAATGCCCAAGTGGCACCTTAGTTCTTCCTTCACCAGTAAAGCTGGAAAGTCACCATATGACCTTTACAAACCCAGCCAAAAAATTCTGATCAGAAAATTTATGCTGATATCTGTATTTAATATTCTGTTGATTTATAATGTATAACAATTTCTGTGCATGATATCAGCTCTCATAATTAACTTTACAATTTATCAAACAGTACAAAGAGTATACTTACTTTTAACTGAAGTAGAACAGAGATTTTATCAGTTATTGAAATACCAGTTCCTGTACTGACACGAAACATATATAATATATGCTATGGAATCTTTGAGAACTTGCATCCTTGTACATCTCATATTAATATAAATGACTTTTTTTTATTAAATGTACTTATTTGCAGAATTTTATCATCTGATTGTCCCCTTTTAAAACTTCTTGGAAAGACCCTGCCTTTCGAGATCACAGTGGGTATGAATGGAAGGATCTGGGTACGAGCACGAACAAGTACACAAACAATAACTGTAATCAATGCAATATCTACAGCGGAATACATGGACAACACACAAATTTCTGCAATGTGCAAAAAACTTTCAGAAGCATTTATTGAGGTTGACTGATGTTGATTAAAATGTGGAAATTTTGTTGAATTCTTAAGGAGCTGTTTAAAGATTTAGAAAAGTACCAGTTACTGAAGCATTATTCATCATAACAAATGGTGCATTAAGGATGTACTTTGTCATTATTTTAAGTATTTGTTTTTCCAGTTTTGATGAAAAATGAATTTCTACATGGTAAAAATTTACTTGTTATATAGACATCTCAAGTAACTCCTAGATATAATTTAAACCTACATCCAGTCTTCCATCTTACATGTGACAAACTCAATTATTCGAAAATGGAAAAAGTAGTATGCACAAAGAACTTTACTATTTTCTTCTGTGTCAGGAATGAAACTGAACATCATTTTGAATTTCTGTTCAAATGAAGTTTTGGGTTTAAAGACAAAATATAAACTTATTTTTAATTGCAAAAAAAATTAGATGATATCATATTTAATGTTTGTTATTACGATGCTTTACAGTGGTTTATAGGGAAATATATCATGGGGAAAAAAAAGATATATTTCATGTTTGAAACAATGAAAATTATTCAATTTGATAATTTTTCACTGTTTTGAAATTTTAAGCCCGTTTATGTTGTTTCAGTGAAATACCTGCCTTCACAGTTCTGGAACCAAATTTATGATTTGACATCATCAAGTTGATTATTATTGGGGCGCTTTGACCCCAGGGCTGTAATTTGAAATTTTTTAGAGTTTCATGAGATGGTGACCCCAGGGCTGTAATTTGAAATTTTTTAGAGTTTCATGAGATGGTGCTACACACAAAATATCTTAAGCTCTTGGCCCCGCACTTAAGAGGATTAGATTTTTATGCTACCCGAAGGGTGAGCATATAGTCACTGCTTTGTCTGCCGTCCGCACTATAAAGTAGGGATAGGGGGCCAACTAAACTGTAAACAGAACAAAACGAGGACAATTGAGTTCGATTCTTTAACATTAGTGTCCAGCTTTTATTGTCATCCAATGCAAACGCTGTATTTCTTTATAAATTATGTGTGTTAATTTTCATAGAAGAAAAAAAAAAAAGTCGATACTATATATTGAAATCCGTTCATAGTCGCCTTCTTATTTACATACAATAAGATGCTTATAGTACCGCGTAGTGACGTAATCAAGGGCCAAATAAAGCTTGACACTAAATATGTTAGTGTTCATCCTTAGCTGTTCTACAGAAATTAGAAACATCTCTGTCGCTATCGCTCCCATCGAAGTTTCTAATTTCTGTAGAACAGCACGGATGAACACTAACATATACATAGAGTAAGGGGTCATTGCTCCTCTGTTAAACAAAAGAAAACAAGAGCTGTCACCCAAGTGACGAATGCCCCCGAAAAGGTTTTTAAGCATGCAGGTATTATGAAAAGAAAAGAGAATGAAAGTAACTAATTGCTGAATATTGTTCTTTGTATTTAGGGGTGTGGATCGTCGGATAAGTGACGATCCGATCCGAACCACGATTCAGCACTTACGATTCACAAATCGAACCACAAATCTTTTGTTATCAAGATACCAATAAAAACATGTACATAATTATTAGTTATAAAAAACATGTTTATTGAAAAACAAAACAACGATACTAAACATTAAACTTATAAAATATAAAGTAGGTTTTATGTTTTTATTCTCTGGAAGAGTATTTTTGTTTTGTTTTATGAAATCAATTACTTCCTAGCTCAGGATTATGGTACGGCACCTTGTATTTAGGTAAACTTCCCATAATTTATACTCAAATCGTATTTTTCGCGATTTTAAGAGTGTAAGAAACAGTGAATGTATATAAAAAAATTAGATCGCGATACACGATCTTTGGGCTTACGAATATTCAAACTCGATTTTTCGCTTTGATTCGTGATTATTCGAGTACTCGGATACTCGCCCCAGCCCTATTTGTATTATTATTCGAGTACTCGGATACTCGCCCCAGCCCTATTTGTATTATTGTACCTGTAATCTCTAATTGTGATAGCATGAACCTTCAAAATATAAGTGTGACCTTGACCTTTGAAGAAGGGACGTGGTTCCTGGACGCAACAAAATGTTATGAGATAGACATTTTGTTGCCAAAAATTATTTCAAAAAATCCTCAATGTATGACAAAGTTATCGTGTCTGGACAGGATTGTTGTGTAAGTGGGACACACTTGAATGAGCCTTAGCCCCTACACATTGTCTTGATGTTTGGTAGACATTTTCTGCCAAGTTTTTTAAAATCCTTCCATGCATGACAAAGTTACGTCCATACAATGAACGTGCATCTTTCAAAACTCTTCTTGAGAGAATGAGTACCTTCAAACTATAAGTGTGACCTTGACCTTGCTAATATTGTACACCACTTATTACTATATGTACTTACCTGCCAAACTTTTGTTCATCTGTCCCATTCTGAGATCATACCTTTTGTGAGTGGGTATAACCAGTAACTAACACAAGTCTTTTTTTCAACACTTATCTTTATTAAGTGATTAGCAGAATAAAATATGTCAGTTTTTTACATAAATATATCAACAATATTCAAAGTTATATTAGCTTCATCTTTTAAAATAGTTGTTTGTGAGACCTCCAATTCTCTTAAAAAATGTTTGCAATTTTTTTAAAATCGAATCTGTACACAAGATGTGCAGTCCCTAAATATTCTTACGACAGAATGATAAGGAATGGTTTAATATTTATTCTATCAAATAATCCTTTTTCTATATTTTGAGGAAATAATCCACTGGTCATTATATTTCAAAATTGATTTGAAGTGTTTCACAAAACTATACTCTGCTAGTTTTAATAAACTTCATGTTTGTGTGCTGTGCAAGGGTAAGGTTTTCAAATCCAACATGATTTTCAAAAAGTTTTTTTTCTGTTTGTTTCAAAATATAAAAGCTAAAAGATGCTAGCACTAAATCCTGGTGCAGAGGTAAGTTCATATTCAAGTCTAATATATAGATGACGAACATTGTCATTTGATCTGCATCATTCAACTGTCCGTAGCTTTATACATGATCATCATCTATTGTTGAAATCATCATGCTGCCCTTCACTCTGCTCACAAAACTCAATGCATCCCTGAAATTTATTATATAACAATGTTTTACAGGTAATCTGATATTTAATAACATACCTGAACTGAATACAAAATTTAATTAAAATTTTCCATTTTCAGACTTATTGTATACGTATAACAAGCAGCTGTCGGTAGGACACACGCTCGACTTATTCCTAAGTGCTATAGTAAAAGAGCCTTGATATTGTTTAAATTTTTCTTAAGGTTCACAAGACCAGGCTGAATTTTTCTTTTTATAAATTCATGTTATAGGCCTTAGAGAGAGTCAATTACTGTTACAGCGTATTGGGTGGACTATTTCGGAAGGTAATGTCCACAAGGGTGTGTTTTATTGGAGCTATAAATAATACTAAATTACTCTATGAATACATAAATTTTGACATGAAACAGCGTACACAAGGGCTTGTTACTAAGATAACATGTTATATTAAGATGTATTTTAAGTCAAGTAAATCACTGCTTTATTATTATTAATGCATAAAATATGTCCCAAAAAACCACAAACCATTAACAAGATACTAAGTAGAAAAGGGATGATGAATCCAGCCTTAATGCAAGGTAGAGTTATGGAACTTTAGTCAGTGACACTACAATTATGACCCTCCAATTATGACCCCTAAGTGCATGTGTAAAAGTTTCAAGTAAATTTCTTTGAATGACCTTTACCTTTAACCACAAAATTTCAAAGGGGCCAAATAATTCATGCAAATATTGGCAGGCAGAGTTATGCTAATTTTTGCATACTGTATGTTCACATTCGTTACTTATTAAAAAAGATATTTTAAATTTCCAAGTTGCAACGTATTCTCAAGCCAATAATTGAGATATTTGACTTTACAAAAAAAACTTTTACCAAAATTTCTAAGTTCCAATAGGGGCATAATCTCTGTCCAATATCTGTGACGCAGGAGCTTCAATCTCCAACTTGTCAAGTCCTGATGTATACCTTGTTACTTTATAAATAAGTATTGTAAATTTCAATGAACGCTGATCTCAAGCAATATATTGAGATATACTGAACTTTACAAAAAAACTTTTACCCAAAAATTTATCTAAAGTTCCAATAGGGCGACCATTTTAATTCTGTCGAAATTATTGTAGGCAGATTTATCCAAAACTTGTCAATCTGCACGCGTAAACCTTGTTACTATAAATAAGTAATTGTAAGTTGTTTCAATTTGAATATCTCAAGCACATAAATTGAGATATCTTGACCTTACAAAAAAACTTTAAACCAAAATTTCTAAGTTAAAAAGGGGCATTAATTCTGTCAATATTGTAGGCAGAGTTATCCAACTTGTCAATCTGATGTACCTTTGTTACTATAAATCAAGTTGTAAGTTTCAATTGAATATCTCCAAGCATTAAATTGAGATATTTGACTTTACAAAAAAACTTTAACCAAAATGTTCTAAGTTCCAAAGGCGGCACTAATTCTGTCAATATTGTAGGCAGAGTTAATCCAAACTTGTCAAATCTGATGTTACCTTGTTACTATAAATAAGTATTGTAAGTTTCCAATTGAATTTCTCAAGTAATAATTGAGATATTTGACTTTACAAAAAACTTTAACCAACGCAGACGCGGGACGCTGACGCCGGACGCGGACGCGACTACACATAGCTCTCATATTCTTCGAATAGTCGAGCTAAAAATTACGTCTTTTTTACCCTAAGAAAAATTGTACACTTTAATCCATGTACATTTTGCAAAGCCTATAAATAATTATTCACATATCTTTTTAATATGAATTTTTTTCTTTTGAGAACATATTTCATTCATGGACATACATGTATTTCGATTACTTAGCAAGATTGTTTGTTCAGGCAATCTATGTAATAATTACTGTGAAACCCTCAAACATTCTTACTTACACACATATCATGATATAGAAATTGCATCTTTTTATATGTCCCCTGCTAGAGATAATTATAATTCTACCAACAATACTGTTTTGAGCCTTTTCTGTATTACCTTGGCATAAATATTAAATCAATTAAAATGAAGAAAATATCTCACATCTTTCATAACAGATGTTCAGCCAGAACACTCCTACTAGCATGATTGTAAGTATTTATACATATAATTTTGAAACCTTAAGCCTTGATGGCTTTTTCTGGACTCCTCGTACTTTGCTTACAAACAGATTCCACGACTTGCCACCTTCAGCCAGACAAGTTGTTCGCGATGCACATACTGTACCTATATTATATATAACGTTTTAAATTTGTCATTGATTAGCCTTATCTAATTTTATTAGAAAATTACAGGTATATGTCACTGTCTGATTTACTGATTATACTGA